CCTCCCTCCTCCCCCTCCTCCTCCTCCTCCTCTCCTCCTCCTCCGCCTCCTCCTCCTCCTCCTCCTTCCTCCTCCTTCCTCCTCCTCCTCCTCCTGTCCCTCCCTCCTCCTCCTCCTCCTCCTCCTCCTCCTCCTCTCCTCCTCCTCCTCCTCCTCCTCCTCCTCCTCCTCCCTCCTCCCTCCTCCTCCCCTCCCCCTCCCAGGAGGGGGAGGAGGAGGGGGAGCAGGAGTATGGGTGTCGAGGAGGAGGAGGGCAGGAAGAGGAGAGGAGGAGAGCAGAAGAGGAGATGATGATGATGATGAGGAGGAGGAGGAGGAGGAGGAGGAAGAGGAAGGGAGGAGGAGGAGGAGAGGAGGAGGATAGGAGGAGGAGGAGGAGGAGGAGGAGGAGGAGGAGGAGGAGGAGGCGGATTGGGTATGTTTTTGTCCTCCTTAGGAGCTGCTGGCGGGCGAGCCCACGGGCCTCACGTTCGTGAGCGCGCCGGAGGCGAACAGCATCCGTTTCACGGAGGAGACCCGGGCTCGCGAGCCCCCTCTTCCAATAGTCGCCGTCGCTCCTCCTCCTCTCTCTTCCTCCTCCTCCTCCTCCTCCTCCTCCTCCTCCTTCTCCTCTTATGAGGCCTCCTCTCCGGGGCCGAAAAATAGACACTACTACTACTACCGACTACCACCTCCCCCACTCCCAGGATGGTGGAGGGGAGATGTGATGGGAGGGGGGGCTAGGGGTGGAGGAAGGTGGTGGTGGTGGTGTATATTTCACGGCCCTGTATCCTCCTCACCCTCAGGTCTTCCTCCTCCCATCTTAGCACGATAGAGAATCAACATTGGAATTTCACAGGTGTTGGAAATTCGCCTCCCAGAAAATAGCCCTGTGACTTGGTTCATCGGGCAGGGACTTTGCGCTGAGGAAGTCCCAAGTTCAAATTCAAATCCCCCTCCTCCTCCTTTTCTCCGCCTCCTGCTCCCGCGCGCCATGCCAGCAGGCCGAGGCCTCTTCCGAGGGCGGGCTAGGGGGGACTTCTAGGTTCTAGTAGGGGCCTTGTCAGCCTTGCAGGACGGGCTGGTGGACCAGTTCACGGTCGGCTACGTCATGGACCGGTCCATCGGGAACACCGGTGGCCTCGGGGGCTTCTTCGGCCCGCTGTACGCCATCGGCAAGAACTTCCCGTTCGAGGACCGAGGGCCCTGAATCGACCAAGACGAGGACCACGCCACCCTACCTGAGCCCCCACCTGTTTTCCTTGACGGCTTAGCATGCGCCACGAAATCATTCTGGTTTCTGGATGGGTTCATGCAAATCTCGCGGCCGGCTTAGGTGTGGTCCTGTCTTTGGTCCACTGGGGCGACAGGGTCGAGGTGGGCTCTCGGGGGCGGCGTCTGGGCCCCAAGGTCCCCCCCCCTCCCCCTCTCGAGCCCGACTCGCCCCCGTACCTTGTTTTTTTCGCTCGAGGCATCGCCCGATAGGCGTCCCCGGGGGGACGAGCCCCCGGAGGATGGGGGTCGAACAGCTTACGCGGCGCGTGTCTAATCATCTCAAGGCTCCGCCTCTGCCGCCGGCCCCCCCTTCCGAACGACGAGGAAATAACAATGTGCTTTTATCTCAAGGCTCCGCCTCTGCCGCCGGGCCCCCTCGGAACGACTAGGAAACAACAATGTGTTTTTTCACATTTTTGTTGCTAGTTTCCAGTGCGCAAAGCTAACGTACGTAATTATGTATTTTTATTCCTCTCGCTTCACAGGGTGCACGTCCGGAGCGCGTTACAGACCTACGCACCAGCCTAATGGTTCGCGAGATGGGGGACAAATTTGGAGCAGGAAAGGAGGAGGGGACTCGTCGTCGTCGTCGTCGTCGTCGTCCTCCTCCTCCTCCTCCTCCTCCTCCTCCTCTTCCTCCTCCAGGGGCCCTTCTTGGAGCCCTCTTGGGGCCCTTTTTGAGCCCTCTCGGGGGCCTCTTGGAGCCGTTTCTGGGGCTTCTTGGGCTTTCCCGGAGGCCCCCAGAGGCTTCCCGAGGGGCGGGCCCTTTTGGAGTCCCTCTTGGAGGCGTCTTGGGGCCTCTCTTGGGGCCCTCTTGGGGCCCTCTTGGGGCCTTCTTGGGGCCTTCTTGGGGGCCCATTGGGGCCCCAAGAGGGGCTTCGGAAGACCTTTGTTGGAGGCCTTTCTTGAAGGCTTTTCTTGAAGGCAGGTCGGGGCCCCTTTGGGACCCCTCTTGCGGCTCTCTTGGGGCCATGTTTGGGAGGGGATCGGCTAAAAACATTTGAAAAACGTAGTGTTTTCCAATCTTGTTGAATGTACAGCTTTTCACGGTCCAAGGGGCCATCCCATGGCCCGAGAGGCCCTCTTGGGGCCGTCCTGGGGCCCGCTTTGGGCTTCAAGAGAGGCCCTCTTGGGGTACAAAACGGCAGTCAAAACGACGTCATCCGACGGTACGTTAAAACACTTGTTTTTTTAGTGCGGGGGGGCAGGCGGCTGAGAGCATGTGGTCCGGGGTTGGTAAAAGGGTGCAGCCGAGAGCGTGTGGTCCTGGGGGGGTGGGGTGGGGGGAAGCGACGCTTCCAGGGGCCCCACCCCTCGCGCGGACTACAACAACTCACATTTCCAACCTATCAATTTACAAACTACAACCTACAATAATTATTCAGACTATTTCCTGTAAGCAACATTGACATAACATTGACATGACTCGGTGCAGCATGCTGAAACCAATGCCCCGCAGCCTGGTGGCCTCAGGGGTGCCGGTGGATCTTGGCGGATCGGAAATGTCTCCTCCTCCTCCTCCTCCTCCTCCTCCTCCTCCCCCTCCTCCTCCCCCTCCACCTCCTCCTCTCCTCCTCCTCCTCCTCCTCCTCCTCCTCCAAGCTAACTAGGGAAGACCCCCCCCTCTGCCCCATCGGTGCCGTTGGCCGGGGAGGCAACAGGGGGAGGCAATCATAGCTGAATCGCTGATGCACGGGCAAAATGCCACTCCCATGTTGCGTTGCCTCCCCCTCCTGCCCCTCCGTTTCGCAGGGGGAGGCAGGCGGGAGCGCAATCACCCGTGTACCAGTGATCTGGCTCCGATCGCCTCCCCCCTTTTGCCTCCCCCCTTTCCGATCCGCCAGCCATCGTCCTGTGTGACCCCCCCGCTCCCCGAAAGGAGGCCAAGCCCTGGCGGCCGTCTCTGGGCTACCAGATCTACGTCAGAGTGGGCGCCTTTTTCAACAGGCTCAGGTGCAAGCTCGAGGGGCGGCCCGAGGAGGATGGGATCTACATGCCGACGGGCACGGGCGAGCTCGGGCTGAAGTGAGGCGCCGCCGAGCCGAGCCGGCGGGCCGACAGACTCACGAGGGCGCCCCGAGCGCAGGTTGCGCGTGCGCGGCCGCTTCGCCAAAAAGCACTGCGGACGCAAGCGCGCTCCCTCCCTCCCTGCCGGGGGCGGCACCAGTGGTCGCTCGCGGTGTGGTTGCTCGCAGCTGTGGCCGTGCCCCCCTTTTCGAGCGGCGTGGGGACCCGGTGCCTCCTGCTCCTCCTCCTCCTCCCGCCGCATGCCGAGAGGTCGGAGGAGGAGGAGGAGGAGAGCAGGGACGGCGGCGTAGAGGAGGATCAAACAAGCTGGAGGAGGAGGAACGTACTCGGGGGGACACGCCATGCCCCCCCCCCCTGCTCATCGCACTGCTGCTGCTGATGCTGGGGCTACGCTCCCTGACCCACGAGGGGAAGGCGGACCGAGCGTTCTGGACCGCCGTGCTGCGGTCGAGGCAACCCGGAGCCCTCGGCCCCCGTCGGGGCGCGGGGAGCCGATCCCAAAGCCTCGTGCCCCGCTCTGGCGTCGAGGTGCGGCACCGATCTGGAGCCCTCGTGCTCCGGGCCAGCGTCGAGGCGACCTGGGCTCTTCGACCCCCGTCGGAGGCCGAGGAGCCGATCCGGAGCTCTCGTGCCCCGTGCCGGCGTTCGTCAGGAGGGGGAAAAACACACAGACACAATTAATCGCCGATTCCCCAGAAAATGTGGGAAACTATGGGAAGTGGGGGGGAAGACAAAAGCCAAGAAAATATAGGAAAATATGGGGAATCCTTTTATTTGTGCGTATTCATTTGTGTGTTTGTGGGCCCCTTCAGTTCAGGCGACCTGGAGCTCTCGATTCCCGTCGGGGGCGAGCGGAGAGCCGATCCGGAGTTCCAGGGCCCCGTGCAGGCGTCGGGGCGACCAGCCGATCTGGAGCTCGCATGCTGCGTGCGGGCGTTGAGGCGACCTGGAGCTCTCGACTCCTCCTCCTCCTCCTCCTCCTCCTCCTCCTCCTCCTCCTCCTCCTCCTCCTCCTCCTCCTCCTCCTCCTCCTCCTCCTTCCGCGCGCGCGGCCGAAGGGGGCGAAGATCCGAGGAGCCGATCCGGAGCTCTCGTGCCCCGTCTTGGCGTTGAGGCGACCTGGAGCTCTCGGCTCCCATCGGAGGTGCGAGGATCGGGGGGTCTCCTCTCTCTGTGCGCTCGGCCTGCAGGAGGCTTGCGGGGCCGATCCAGAACTTGCGTCCCCCCTGCCGGTGGATGGCGCGGGCCTGTGGTCGGGCTTCGGAGGCTCCCAGCCCTGCGGGGTTTCCCGGGAGAACGACCAGGGGCCCTCAATCCACGCCCTGTTGGGGAAGCTACGGCAGGGAACCGGTCGTAAAACGTTTCCGGCGTTTTTCGGGAGGGGGGATGCGGGAAAGCCAGATTTCCACCCCCTCCTTTCGACCACCCCCAAGAAATGCGCTTCCGTGGCACCCCTCGAGGAGCAACGGATCGCAGCAACCAGCGAGTTGCAGCCCAGGGCCGACGGGTGCTAGGCCACATCCACGTGCCTCTCCTGAGAAGATCCTGTCCATGATCGGGTGCACCGAGTATCGGGACTACATGACATCACCGATCCACGGGAAGCCCCCGCTGGGAGAAGGATTGCTGACAACGTGCTTGCACCCTCCACAGCAATCCCAGGCGACTTGTTGCGTCACAAATGGGCGGCGCACGCGCGCCAACGGAACTTGGAAATGATCCGGGGCGTCAGAGCCAGCATCGACCCACAGGTGGACATCCTACTTTGGGAAACGGTCCAAAAAGAGGTCTGCTTCGGCTACGCCATTTTTCGCGATCTGGACGAGTACAACTTGCCCCGAGATTCCCCAAATGGGAGCTAATGGGCGCAGGAGAGTGGGCAGCCCGGCCAATCAGTGACTTCAAAAGGTCTGGGGGCAACGACGCGGTAGCCCTGCGGCAACGGCACGTGCCCGAGGACCTGGTCCAATTGTGGGCCGTCGCGCGACAGTGGGAGGAATTCTGCGGAGATGCCGCCGGCTTGGCTGGCTACATAATCGACTATGATATGGCCTTCCGCCACAGCCCGAAGGGCCCTGGGCAGACCCGCCTCACCCTTGAGCTCGCGTCGGACCCTGGGGGCCAGAAAGTAGCGGCTGTCGACGTGGATGGCCAGCCGTTCGGAGGCGTACTGTCGCAATTCGACTACGTTCGTGATCCAGCAGCAATGGTGGCTATTGGAAGGTTATTGCTCAGGATGGCTATATCCCACTATGCCGACGACGCTTGGGGGGTAGAGCCACGGCGATTGGCGGAACAACCCCACAAGGTGTGGGTCGAACTCAACCAGTTCGTGGGGTGGCGCAGAGACATGGAGAAGAGCCCGCCGCCGTCCGATCCATTCAGGCTGCTCGGTGGTTTGCACTACGTGGGCGTCGAGACGCCGTGCAGCTGCCTGCACCCAGACAAGGTAAAAGCCATGCTGGCCCAGATCCAAGAGCACTTGCGCAGCGGGCCGATGACCAGTTCCGAAGCAGGCACGCTCAGAGGACAGTTGGGATGAGCGCGAACTTTCCAGTTCGGGAGATTCGGAGCCGCGGCCCTGCGCCCACTCTCAGAGCGCCAACGCAACAAGCAACACCTGGTGTTCAACCCAGCCATCTGCGCAGCGCTACACGTTCGGGGACGTATGCTGGAGGGCACAGTGGGCAAGCCCATCCCGTTTTCTCCAGAGAGCATGGATCTCCATATCAGAGTGACCGATGGAGAAGGATCCGGATGGGTCGCGGCAGGATGGTGGTGGCGGCCTCGACAGCGCGGCTGGGCGCCGCGCGTCGCGCGCGCCTGGGTGCCGCAAGAGTGGCGCGAGGCGTGGACGCAGGGCGGCAAGGAGGTGGACATCAACGAGGTGGAGGCCCTGGGGCCCTTGCTGGCGATGGGCACGTGGCCGGAACTCCGCGGAGGCATGGTCGTGGCGTTCGTCGACAACGAGACGGCGAAGACCACGCTGATCAGAGGCAACAGCGTTGTGACCTCACTACATGTGGTCACACCCACAGGACATGGGATATGCTTCGCGAGAGGGAGCTGAACGCGTGGGCGGAGCGCGTGGCCAGCGAGGACAACCCGATATACAAGGCCTCTCGCGGAGACATGATGGACAGCTACGATCAGAAATGGCGGGGCCACCCGGCGGCGTGGCCGCGCATAGTGGATTGGGACAGTGACGGTAGCTTCGCAGACGGGCCCGGCACGGGGGGAGGGAGATATGGCCCCCGCTCGTCCCGCGGGTCCCCGTCGAGTACTGAAGCCAACGACTATAAAGCACAGCGTTGGCACATCATCGCCATCACCGTCACCACAGGGGAGATTTCTCATCATCATCATCATCACCATCATCATCATCATCATCATCATCATCATCACCATCATCATCATCATCATCATCATCATCATCATCATCACCATCACCATTCCCCTCCTCCTCCTCCTCATCATCGACACCATCGCCATCACCATCACCATCACAATCACCCTCACCAGTCTCGTCGTCGCCATCAGCGTAGTTGTTCGAGGGCGAATGATGAATAGTGAAGACTTGTTCATTTTTCACTGCGTTGTGTCCGGGGCGACGTTTACGCGATCTGCCTACCTGTCAACCCTTGGCCTGTGGAGATTGAAAATTCGGCTGCAGTGTACCTCGTGCGCCTGAGGTCGAAAGCTGTCCCCGCGTCTATCCTTGCTGGCGCGAGATCCGAGATGATGCAGTTGATCTGATGCTCGTTCTGTTGATGGAGGGCTTGGTTGATGAGTATATCACGAACGCGCTCCGTGTGCGATTCGAAAGGTTCCAAACGCTCCCCCTTGTCTAGGGCCCCACAGTATGTGTACGTTGTTTTCCACGCTCCGTTCTTGTTGGCTTCAGGCGCAGCTAAAACAGTCTGATGGCGTCTTCTGTTAGTTAAACATGCCCGCCTCCATCGCCCCGTTTTTTTGCGTTGGCTGGACCGTTCCCTGTGGAACGGGTGGTGTACCGCTGCCAAATTGAATCAAGGACGTCAGGCCTGCCGCGCTGGGTGCCCAGCGACTGGTGGCGACCATGTCTTGCATGACCTTTTTCAGTCCTGCCATTCTCGCCCTGTTGTCCTCTGTCGCCCCCTCTCTTCCCGAAGATCATTGCGGGTGGCCGCGTGGAGACAGGCTGCTGATTTGCACGCGCCATCCTTTGTTTGTTCTGCGCTGAAGCCTGCTCTGCTTGTGCATGCGTGACCTCATTGGTTCGTCATCCAATTCGCCCCGGGCCCACGAGTGGTGGGGAGAAGAGCAGCTCCATAACCCCGACTGCGGCGAGGGCTCGCGCGATCGCTGAGAAGAGGAAGGCAGTCCGTGTACTATAATCATACCATGAACGCTGAGTCGCGGGCGGATCATCATCATCATCATCATCATCATCATCATCATCATCATCATCATCATCATCATCATCATCATCATCATCATCATCATCATCATCATCATCACCATCATCTTCATCATCATCATCATCATCGTCATCATCATCAGCATCATCAACAACACCATCACCATCATCATCATCATCATCATCATCATCATCATCATCATCATCATCATCATCATCATCATCATCATCATTATCATTATCATCATCTCATCATCATCTCATCATCATCATCAGCATCAGCATCATCATTCCATCATCATCCTCATCATCACCATCAGCAGCATCATCATCGCCGCCATCATCATAATCAGCATAACCATAAGGTTCCTCCTCTTCGTCTTCGTCCATCCCTCCTGATCCTCCTCCTCATCCGCCGCTTCCTTTTTTTTCTCCCCTTCCTCATCGTTCCGTTTTCTTCTCATTCTCCTCGCCCCTCTTTCTCATCATCCTTCCTCCTTCTCTTCCTTCCTCCTTTTCCTCCTCCTCCTCCTCCTCCTCCTCATCTTCCTCCTCCTGCTCTTTCCCCTGCCCCCGCGCCAATGAGCCCCCAGCCTTCCTTGCTCTCGATATTGTCAGGGACGCACGGGGCAACACGTATGGACCCCTGCTGGGGTCCAGCGGGCACCCCTACCACGAGGGCTGGG